TTTTTTTTGTCAGTAAAATAAAAATCTTTGATTTGATCTAAAAAGGAGAGGAAAAACTTTTGTAAATATGAATACAATTTTTACACCAAGTTGCCCTTATCATTGCTAGAGCAACTCAATACTGCAGTATGTTACTAAAATAGATACTAGCAATTCAGTTTACAGATAACGGCCTTCAAATTTTTAATAATCTTTGAAAGACGTTTGTTTTCTTAAATTTAAAGGTAAGGCAAAAATGCCTTTAGCAATAGTTTTGTACTGTCCCCCAGCATGAGCAGGAAACATTTATATTTAAAAAATATTAATGTAAGTTTTTGTTTTGTTTTTTTTTTTGTTATATGGTTCGTACTGAAGTTCGACGACTTCGTTGTACTGAAGCTATTAAACTTATTGTAAAGGGCAGCAACAAAATGTACTTTTTTTATTCGCGGCTTAAAAAGTTAGGTTCCAACTAAATAACTGCATTACCCATAGTGCATCAGTGATTTTGCGCAAACTCGGTGACACAGAATACTAGCCCCCCCATTCCCTCCTCCCAACTTCAATGCTAACTAAGATGGTGGTTTGAGCGTAAATTGTCTCCACAATACCAAGAAAAGAAAGGGGCAAAACATCTTTATTATCTTTTCATAACCACAGAACAACACACCTACGGTTATCTTAAGTGGCCGTTTGAAGATATTTGACATTTCAGGCAGTGTGAGTCGCATTCTCCGCCCAATCTGGTGTGACTCCCTCCGAGTGGAATCTAGGCTAAATACGGACAGGGTAAGTGACGCTAACGTTAGCCTGGCTGCTAGCTGATGTTAGCACTGCCATTTCTCTCTACAATCAAAACAAATATTTGTCTAATGTACTTTTACAGGTTGGGATTATGACATCCCCTGGTTTGTTGAGGTGTTGTATGCGTTGTCTTAATGTCCTAAGCGCGGTATCAGTTATTTTTTGTGCCAACAACCTGCTAGCCATCCAACATTAGCCTGCGAAGGCCGCACTGTCCGTCTTCATCAGTGTTATAGCATGTTAGCCGATAGGACAGTGTGAGCTGTCAGAGAATATGTAGGGGTGTGAATAACTGTTTCATTTCTATGTTAATATGTTCATATTATGCTAGTATTAATCTCTGCGTGTTTGCTTTTGTCCTCCAAAGGGCTGCAGTACCTTGAATATTCGCTTCAAATGAGACCGGCTTCTTTTACCTGCTTTACGCCTTATGTTAGCCCAGCCCAATGTTGATGAAATAACATCTGTCCTAAGGTACTATATCCAGAAGATAGCGGATTAAATTACCGTCCTGGCTATTTGGGTGTTTCAGGCTTTACGCGCGACTTTACCGATCAGCTGGTTTCTGCCAGTGAAGCTGTGACGCCTCTCTAAGAATTGTGTGTTCCAGCTAATTTCTGCCTCGTACAGCATATGTATTTCGTATATTTTTCCGTGATGTTTTATAGACCTGAACTGACCACAGTTCTGCAATATTTCCCTTTTATCATCTACTCTAGCAAGTCCCTGTCTGTCAGCCTCTTGAGTATCACAACATCCCCACAATTTATTACTAAAGTGTTGTCTGCTGTTTGTGATGTACATAGTTATTTTGTACCATAAAACAAAAAGACTGGTAGTCGTATTAAACACCTTGACCAATTCTCTATAAATCCATTTCTCTGACGACCATATATTTATGTAGTTTCGGGGAAATAACACAGTTAAAACACGGTGGGGTCTGACGACCATATATTTATGTAGTTTCAGGGAAATCACACAGTTAAAACACGGTGGTAAAAAAAAAAATCTATCTTGGCAGCCATGACCTTTTTGATAATACAAAAGCAGGAATAGTGAGTGTTTTCTTTTTTCAGATCTCACGATTTTCTTATTAAGCCAACATGACATGTTTAAATATTTTTAAATATTTGTTGTCATCTGATACATAAATATAATTCTGTTGCAGCTACACATTTGTTGTCATCTGATACATAAATATAGTTCTGTTGCAGCTACACCTGAAAATGATTTTTTTTTGTCAAGATAATTTGAATTATGAAAATGCAATGATTAATTCCTGGGTTTATTATTAACCAGTCATCTTTTTTTCTAGAGTACATAAAAACAGTTAATTATGTACATTTTGTCAAAAAGTATGATTTTGGATCTTTTGTTTTGTGGTACAAGCCACAAGGTATAGATAGCACAACTAGTAAGCGTGGCCTCTCAGTTCTGCATCACCATTATGACCACAGTTCTATAAAAATGTGAAATTTGTCTTTGTCAAAAGGAAAATAGAATTTGATATAGTGTCACTTTTTTTATATATACTTTCAGTTGATTCATTACATGCAGTTATGTTGGTATTGTATGGTTTGTGATGATTTTTGTTGTACTACATTCCTTCAGCCCAGTGCTCTGTGACCATCCTCAACACTCACCATCGTCACACCATAGGATGTCCCACAGCCCTGAAATGAAGGACGACCCCATGGAGTGCCCTTTGTGCATGGAGCCGCTGGAGATAGATGATGTCAACTTCTTCCCCTGCACCTGTGGCTACCAGATCTGCCGCTTCTGTTGGCATCGTATCCGCACAGACGAGAACGGCCTGTGCCCCGCCTGCAGAAAGGTGAAGAAGCGATGATACATAATTGTACAGATATTACCCACGACGCAAATCAGATGTTTGTCACAGCGTTTGAAAAAATGTTGTTTAGGGAAACAGGCATGATTGTTTTAATACCTTTTTATCTTGACATCCTGAAATGCTGGACATGACATGAGCAACTTATTTACATTGTCTTGAATATTCGCTTCAAATGAGACCGGCTTCTTTTACCTGCTTTACGCCTTATGTTAGCCCAGCCCAATGTTGATGAAATAACATCTGTCCTAAGGTACTATATCCAGAAGATAGCGGATTAAATTACCGTCCTGGCTATTTGGGTGTTTCAGGCTTTACGCGCGACTTTACCGATCAGCTGGTTTCTGCCAGTGAAGCTGTGACGCCTCTCTAAGAATTGTGTGTTCCAGCTAATTTCTGCCTCGTACAGCATATGAATTTCGTATATTTTTCCGTGATGTTTTATAGACGTGAACTGACCACAGTTCTGCAATATTTCCCTTTTATCATCTACTCTAGCAAGTCCCTGTCTGTCAGCCTCTTGAGTATCACAACATCCCCACAATTTATTACTAAAGTGTTGTCTGCTGTTTGTGATGTACATAGTTATTTTGTACCATAAAACAAAAAGACTGGTAGTCGTATTAAACACCTTGACCAATTCTCTATAAATCCATTTCTCTGACGACCATATATTTATGTAGTTTCGGGGAAATAACACAGTTAAAACACGGTGGGGAAAAAAATCTATCTTGGCAGCCATGACCTTTTTGATAATACAAAAGCAGGAATAGTGAGTGTTTTCTTTTTTCAGATCTCACGATTTTCTTATTAAGCCAACATGACATGTTTAAATATGTTTAAATATTTGTTGTCATCTGATACATAAATATAATTCTGTTGCAGCTACACTTTTTTTGTCAAGATAATTTGAATTATGAAAATGCAATGATTAATTCCTGAGTGTATTATTAACCAGTCATCTTTTTTTTCTAGAGTACATAAAAACAGTTAATTATGTACATTTTGTCAAAAAGTATGATTTTGGATCTTTTGTTTTGTGGTACAAGCCACAAGGTATAGATAGCACAACTAGTAAGCGTGGCCTCTCAGTTCTGCATCACCATTATGACCACAGTTCTATAAAAATGTGAAATTTGTCTTTGTCAAAAGGAAAATAGAATTTGATATAGTGTCACTTTTTTTATATATACTTTCAGTTGATTCATTACATGCAGTTATGTTGGTATTGTATGGTTTGTGATGATTTTTGTTGTACTACATTCCTTCAGCCCAGTGCTCTGTGACCATCCTCAACACTCACCATCGTCACACCATAGGATGTCCCACAGCCCTGAAATGAAGGACGACCCCATGGAGTGCCCTTTGTGCATGGAGCCGCTGGAGATAGATGATGTCAACTTCTTCCCCTGCACCTGTGGCTACCAGATCTGCCGCTTCTGTTGGCATCGTATCCGCACAGACGAGAACGGCCTGTGCCCCGCCTGCAGAAAGGTGAAGAAGCGATGATACATAATTGTACAGATATTACCCACGACGCAAATCAGATGTTTGTCACAGCGTTTGAAAAAATGTTGTTTAGGGAAACAGGCATGATTGTTTTAATACCTTTTTATCTTGACATCCTGAAATGCTGGACATGACATGAGCAACTTATTTACATTGTACGTTGCATATTTTTTTTCTCCTACTTTGAACAACAGATGTAAAAAAAAAATATTTCTTTGTTTGTTTGTTTTTTTCACGTTACTTTGAACAACAGATGTAAAAAAAAATATTTCTTTGTTTGTTTTTTCACGCAGCCATATCCAGAGGACCCGGCTGTATACAAGCCTTTGTCACAGGAGGAGATCCAAAGGATAAAAAATGAAAAGAAACAGAAACAAAATGAGAAGAAGCAGAAGGTGACAGAAAACCGCAAGCACCTGGCCAGTGTCCGAGTGGTCCAGAGAAATCTGGTGTTTGTGGTTGGGCTCTCGCAACGACTCGCTGATCCAGAGGTAAGCCATAGTGGACGGTGATGATGCTGGATTGTAGAATGCTTTGCACATGGTGTAAAAATAAAAAAAGTCTCACGCGCATTAATGTACGCCTGTTTTGTGTGGCCCGCAGGTTCTAAAGCGACCAGAATATTTTGGGAGGTTTGGAAAAATCCATAAAGTGGTCATTAACAATAGCACATCTTACGCCGGTTCGCAGGTAAGGCGGCATATCAAACCTACGCTGTTGATAATCATGTGAAGCGGAAATTGTTAATCATGTCCAAGAGATATTGAGAGACACACGGATGTATTTCATTTCTACATGCAGGTTACCTTTTTTGCATTATTGTTGGTTTGGATTTAATAACCCAAACAATTAGAACACAGAATTCCCATATTTAAACAGCTTGATGAAGCCCCTACCTTACTCTATAATGTTTCTTCACCACCAGGGGCCTAGTGCTAGTGCTTATGTCACTTACATCCGCTCTGAAGATGCTCTAAGGGCAATACAATGTGTGAACAACGTGGTTGTGGATGGCAGAACACTCAAGGTGAGGATTAAAACATCCACTCATTTGTACTTTCTATTATTTAGTTATATTTATCATAGTAAAAATATGTTGTGTATTTAGTGTATCTATGTGTTTTCGCTAGGAATTATTTACACAGTATGCTTTAATTTCTTGTTGTTCTTCTTTGTGTTATTATTTAAGATCAAGTCAAGCTTTTCTTGGACAACATACCCAATGAATTGGGATAAAACAATTTACTTTTTGTTTTTTTCTCTGTAACTCAGGCTTCTCTAGGCACAACAAAGTACTGCAGTTACTTTCTGAAAAGTATGCAGTGTCCAAAGCCTGATTGTATGTATTTACATGAGCTGGGGGATGAAGCGGCTAGCTTTACTAAAGAGGAGATGCAGGTAAAGTGTGGGAATAATTCTTTAGCTTCATCCTCGAAGGATATGGATTTGTTCGAAAGGCAGTCTTCTAAAGCTGCTCCGTTTTCTTTTAGGCGGGAAAACACCAAGAGTACGAGCAAAAACTCCTCCAAGACCTATATAAAATTAACCCTAGCTTTTTGCAACCTCCAGCATGTGGTACAGAGAAGTCTAAAAGTAAATCCAACTCGACACAGAGGTTAGTGAATAACGTTTTTTCTTGCTGTTGCGATTTCCATATTAGTTTCAAAGATTTGTGTTGAGTTCACTTTTTATCTGGGTTTTTTTTTTACAAAAATATTTAATATAAATTGTTACAGATCCAATAATAGCAATGGTAAAGATGGGTGGCCTACGCTGTCAGGGCATGGTAAACTGGCCAATGGACTTTCAGAAGAGCGCAAGTCCCCTCCGTTACTAGACTATCTAGACCAAGAAGTTATCACTTCAGATGGTCTAGATACAGAGTTGGGTCAACATACTGCCTTGTCCCCCTTCTCCTCAAACTGTGACAGTAACAGGTAACCAAGACCAGTTGTCAGCATCAGAGCAGAATACAGATTTTTTTTTTTGTTTTGTTTATACAATAAAGTTTGCAGACAAATCTAGAAATACTAAAGAGAGGTTGACAGATGCTATTGAAGAACACTTCGTCTACCTTTAAACTAAATGTCTCCTTTCCTTCTTCAGTCCCAGTGACAAACCTCCAGAGTCGACTGGTTTGGTGAATGGAGAGACTTCACAACAGGTACAGTAGCGTCGTCCGTTTGTGCTTTCATACATGTTCTTACTGACATCAGCTGTCTGTCTGAAATGATCCAGCGGCATGGAGACAACTTGATAATGTCCGTGCTCTAGATTTATCCTGAGACTCTACCCAATTAAACATATTTCACATTCGTCTACGTTCATAAATAAATTCCTTTGTCGGGACACAATGGAAAAAGACTGCTACGCCAACCTGTTTAATGACATTCTAATTCATTTATTTGTAACTCTAGCACTAATAATTACGCTGACATAATTGCAATGCAGATGCCTTGGAGAAGTTCTTTTTTTCTGCCAGCTTTGTTTTGCTTCTCTTCTTTCCCTCTCTTTTTCTTTCTACAGATTCTTCTTTGTTTTTTGTTTTTTTTTTTTCTCCATCTTTTTTCCTCTTTGTCTCTGTCACTTCTTGCAACACTTTGCTATGGTGTCAGGATAAACGTCAGTTGTTCTCAGGTCTCTGTTTACTATCAGATAGTCTTGTCATAATTAATTGTGAAATTAGCTAAACTCGACAAATTCATGTTCATGCAAGTTCTCATCTCTTTTTTTTTTCCTCTAGATACCCACAAGTGACTCCCCTTCCCCTCCTCCTGGTTTAACTAAGCCTGGCCTGGTTGTGCCCATCAGTCTTTTGGACCTCACAGCCCGTTCACCCTTCGAGGGTGCAGCAGCTGAGTCCCAGTCACTTTTTTCAGATAACAGTAACTTCAGACATCCTAATCCCCTCCCTGCAGGTCTGCCCCCCTTCCCCAGCTCTCCACGGGGCAGCTCTGATTGGCCTATGACCCCTGAACCACAGAGCCTCTTCACATCAGGTATACAAAAGACTAATGGTCACATTTCTTATCTCTACTACTATGGTGTGATAAAAAAAAAACCCAGCGACAGGTTTTTATGTCAATATTTGAAAAGCCTTTTACCTGCAGGTGTGGGGCAAATTATTCTAGCTGCTTGGTTTTATTATCTCCAGAACATTAGCTCTGTGTACCACCATGCTGACGCCATGTTGACGTGTTAAGTCCTCTGTTATTCTTTGCTGTTGGCGGTGCATATTGGCTTTGGTAGTGGAACCGACGCATTAGGAAATGCCATTTATAGGTTCATTTGAGATGGACTGAAATATTATTGCAGTCATTTTCCAGGTTGTTTTGGAAGAAAAAAACAAAGAATGTGTCAAAGATATAGAAAAAAAAAAACACATTCAGGCTGTTATGAAAGACAGGTGCAGGTGTGATGTTATAGATCATTATCAATATCTGTATTTATGTGATATATGCAAGACAACCCACAGCCTTCAACACAAATTCTCCTAGCATGGCTTCTCAGACAGAAGTGCGTTGTTGACATTTTTAGATGCGTTAAAAAGATGAAATCAGACGATAAAAAATATTTTAAAAATTTAATTTAAAAAAAAAAAATTATTTAAAATATTTTCCCTGCAAAGAGAAATTTAACATAGGTTGAAGTTTTTTGAAATGTGTTCTAAAAAAAAACATCCCCGAAAAATTTAACTTTCTAAAACTGGGTTGTATTAAATAAATAAAATATTAAGTACAAATATTAACACTCATTGAATTGCAAATTTCATGAACTCCACTGCGCCACCTGCAGTAGCTAGGCAATCTGCAACCCCCCCCCCCATCATTCTGGGAACCACTGATTTAGTACATACTGTATGTGTTATCCAGTGATGGTGTGAAATTGTTTCTCATATATTGTGTCTTCTTCCAAAGACACAATACCAGTGTCTTCCTCCACAGACTGGCAGGCGGCCTTTGGCTTCGGCTCGTCAAGTAAACAGCAGGATGACGACTTGGGTTTCGATCCCTTCGATGTCACCCGTAAGGCTTTGGCCGACCTCATAGAGAAGGAGCTGTCTGTGCAGGATCCCTGTACTACATCACCGGGACATCTCTCCCAGGCCAGCAACCACGGTCCCGGTCTGTCAAGCGCCACCTCTCACCACTTCCCCAGCGGCCTGCCCCGACTCCCCCAGATCCACCACAGACCCATCTACAGCTCCTTCAGTTTTCCCGGCAGTCAGAACAGCCAGGGCGGTCAGCAGCAGCAGCAGCCTCCAGCCAACAGACATCCCTGGATGGCCGTCCCAACACGAAATCACCTCGCACACTTGAACCACTCAGCCAGCGCTGCCTCACACAGTAATTTCCTTGACCTGAATCTGCCACCTCAGCATAACACAGGGCTGGGAGGGATTCCCATCTCAGGTACTGGGCACCGCACGCTCCTTTTTATATCAGTTCATGATGCAGAGCCAGTGTTTAAGTCTGTGCAACCAACGCTCCAGGAAGTGACATGTCTGTTTTCTTCTTCTTCTTCTTCTTCTTCTACAGAAAACAGTGGCTCTATAGAAGGTTTAAATGTGAAAGAGTGGCAGGACGGCCTGAGAGCTCTCCTGCCCAACATTAATATCAACTTTGGGGGTCTCCCGAGCTCCTCCTCCTCGTCATCATCCTCATCATCCAACAGTGTTAATCACATTGGTGGGCCGGCAGGAATTTCACACAGCCTGAGTTGGGATGGCACAGCAAGCTGGATGGATCCAGCCATCATCACAGGTAAGAAAAACGTTTGCCGAAATGTAACATTTCTTGTTGCTTAAAAAAAAGAAGTGAAATGTGTTTCTCTACGTTGCTGTATCTTTGCACGTCACGCGTCAGAAATCTATATTTCTAGTCAAAGATTTAGCTTTAAGCGGGTGTTTACGCAATTAACTTTGATTTGTTTTATTAAGGAAATAAAGATTAATGGAAGGTTTTTGGTTACACGCAAAGAGTTCGGACTCTTGAACAGTTCTTAAACCGTTCAAATAAGCGAGGCTGTCATTTATTTGTCAGCGTTAAAAAAAAAAAAAAACAATGTGATGAAAACTGAATTTTTGGTTCTGGGATTTATGGTTTAATCTTTAATCAATAACACAGCACTGTTGGTCACTGAAATATAATATATATATAAATATAATATAATGTCATTATAAAACGAATGTGATGTTTGGTCCAAACATTTCCCACTGGACTCACAGGTCTAACGCTGCTTCGATAGTGTTTAGTTCTTTTCCTCTAGTTTAGTTTATTTCAGTTCATGCACTGGAGGATTTTTAAAACGGCAAAGTCACTAAAAAGCAGCGTGTTGATGACGAAAAACACTTTTAAGGAACTTTGATGTCCTCAAACTGAAACCACTGGGGTCTTTGTTGTGGTGAGCGTGTGGTTTTCAATGAAACCTCTTGAAGGGAAAGAACGGTTCGGTGTAAACCGACAGTCACACTGTAGTGCTGCTACAGAATGACATTCAGGCGAGGGCATTATGAGCTGTGATATTTGCACCATTGTAAACATACAGGAACTGCAGCGAAATGTTTAAGAAACCCTGTAAAATCTCCTTCACTGACACGTACACTTTTAAAAGCTTCTGCTGCCACCTTGTGGTGTAGGCTCCTTATTAAAAGTCATTCATTGCTCTGTCAGAGTTCACTGCTATTTTTCTGCCCTGTCACATGCTGCCTTTTTTTACTATTCTTAAGAAAATGTTGCTTTCCTAATCAGACACTTGCTGTTGTTTATAGCTTTAACTTTATCAGACTTGATGACAAAAAGTACAGATTTGTTTGTAAATCACGGACAGATTTAAATAGTTATGGCTTAAAAGAGTTTACCACTCGATCAGGGTTTTTTTTTTTTTCTTTAATGCATGTTTCAGTTGCCTGAAAACGTAAGGGATGCGAATGTTTGCTGTAGTTAAAGTGGAATTTTAGGTCAATGTAGAAGATGTTCGGGGTCATTGTTCTGTGGTCAACTTGTTTGGTTCTCTCCTCTCCATCAGAGTACAGACAGTACAGACAGACAGAAGTGTAAGGTTATCCTGCCGAAACGAAGGAACATACGCATAGCAACAGTTTCCACCCATGTCCATTTCTGACTCCCATTAGGTTCAACACAAACCTTTAAACTTCCTTATCCTTCCTTTCTTCCTGACTTAGCCATGGGTGGATGCTCCCCTCTTTTTTTTTTACCTGTTTTCAGACCAAAACCAGCTACTAGTTTCTGCCTAATAAAAGATGGTGACCTTGGTGTGACATATTTAATCAGATTAACCGACGTTTTATTAATATACAGTATGTCTTTGTCATTTAAATTACATCTCAGTCACTGCAGTGTGAGGTGAAGGCGGGTGTGTGTTTTCTTGCTGCTATATTTTGTCATTACTCATCTGTCCTTTGAAATTTTTCTGCCCACTCTCTCTTCCTCTCCTCCTCTCCTCCCCTCCCCTCACCCCTCAGGCATCCCAGCCTCAGCGGGCAGCAGTTTAGACTGTCTCCAAGACGACAACCCTCCACACTGGCTCAAGTCACTTCAGGCGCTCACAGAGATGGACGGTCCAGGCAGTTCAGCAGTGCCCACGCCCCAGCCCCTCCACAGCGGCCTCCTGGACGCCCACATCCCCCTCCACCACAGAGCTGCTGCCGGCTGGGCTCAGTACCTCCCCCCACCCAC